GTTACCTAGTGTCTTTACTTGACCACTTATACTTGCCGGATTGCTGTAGACGTCGGAACAACCTTCGCCCCCGGACTTTTCCTCCTCCTGGATCCTTTCTATCACTCCTCCACTCCCAGTTGATTTCTTGAGAACCCGAAGAGTTGCGATTTACCTTGATCAAGCAGCACCGACAGAAGAGGGGAGTGTCGCAGCCGGTAATTAGTCGGGGGCCCCCTTTGTCTCGGCTCACGGCAATCGCCTCTCGCGCCCCTGATGCTGATCAAAAATCGTCTTGCCAACAAGATCCGTCTCCCCCGACTCTGGCCCGTCTGAATTTATCTCGGTGGAACCTCCAAATGAAGCAGGCTTTTTCTTTCTCTGAGCAATTGCTCAAAGGCTCAGCCAAAATGCTCCGTTTCAGTTCAAATTGCGGACGCAGATGAGTCAGGAAAAACAGCCAACTGGGTTCAGCAAGAATATCAAAGTTTATTTATAGCAGCTGCTAGAGGCTTTTCGACACAACAATGGCGTCTCTGGGAAAAGCCCCCAACATCAAAGGTAGTGTTCTTTTTATACATCAAAAGGGGTTCGGCTTTAAGAGCCGCCCCGAAGATTAAATCATTGGTTAAGAAAGCTGTCAATATTATAGTTATATTAGCAATTAGCTCATATATTTTTAAGTTTCGCTTCGCAATGAGCAAACCCCTTCTTGGAAACATCTCAAGACGCTGACATGCAAAATACAGCTGGAAACATCTGCTGATCTTGGCAAGTTTAAACTTTTAGCCTTGGCCATTTCCTTTCTGCAAAGTTGGCAAGTCTCATGACCGATTTTTCACCTCTTTCACAAAAAACTCATCTTGAGCCTGTCTTTGTCTCCCATATATGGTCAAGTCCATCCGTTCTCTTTTCTACATGCAAACCCCGGCAGCCTTAATAAACAAAAGCTGTACTTTTTGCCTTTTCTATAGCTATACCTTTCTGCATACCTACAGCTATACCTTTCTGCCTTATTGCAAAGCCTTGCAGCTTCAAAGCCTGGCTGCTTCCTGCCTGGCAGAATATATTGATTACCATTGCAAAGCCTCGCAGCTGCAAAGCCTGCCTGCTTCCTGCCTGGCGGAATATATTGATTACCATTGCAAAGCCTTGCAGCTTCAAAGCCTGGCTGCTTCCTGCCTGGCAGAATATATTGATTACCATTGCAAAGCCTTGCAGCTGCAAAGCCTGCCTGCTTCCTGCCTGGCAGAATATATTGATTACCATTGCAAAGCCTTGCAGCTTCAAAGCCTGGCTGCTTCCTGCCTGAGGGAATCCCACATCTATCTATCTATCTATCTATCTATCTATCTATCTATCTATCTATCTATCTATCTATCTATCTATCTATCTATCTATCTATCTATCTATCTGTGGAATGATGTCCAGGGTGGGAGAAAGAACTCTTGTCTGCTGGAGGCAAGTGTGAATATTGCCATTGGCCAGCTTGATCAGCACTGAATGGTCTCACAGCTTCAAAGCCTGGCTGCTTCCTGCCTGGGGAGATCCTATCTATCTATCTATCTATCTCTCTCTCTCTCTATCTATGGAATGATGTCCAGGGTGGGAGAAAGATATCTTGTCTGTGGAAGGCAAGTATGAATATTGCAATTAGTTGCCTTGATTAGCACTGAATGGCTTTGCAGCTTCAAAGCCTGGCTGCTTCCTGCCTGGGGGAAATCCTATATATATATATATTATATATATATATATACACACACACACACACACATACATATATACATATATATACACACACACACCCACACCTGTGGAATAATGTCCAGAGTGGGAGAAAGAACTCTTGCCTGCTGGAGGGAAATGTGAATGTTGCCATTGGCCAGCTTGATTAGCACTGAATGGCCTTGCAGCTGCAAAGCCTGGCTGCTTCCTGCCTGGGGGAATCCCATATCTACCTATCTATCTATCTGTGGAATGATGTCCAGGGTGGGAGAAAGAACTCTTGTCTGCAGGAGGCAAGTGTGAATGTTGCCATTGGCCAGCTTGATTAGCACTGAATGGCCTTGCAACTTCAAAGCCTGGCTGCTTCCTGCCTGGGGGAATTCCATATCAATCTATCTATCTATCTATCTATCTATCTATCTATCTATCTATCTGGAATGATGTCCAGGGTGGGAGAAAGAACTCTTGTTTGCTGGAGGCAAGTGTGAATGTTACCATTGGCCAGCTTGATTACCACTGAATGCCCTTGTAGCTTCAAAGCCTGGGCGCTTCCTTCCTGAGGGAATCCCATATCTATCTATCTGTGGAATGATGTCCAGGGTGGGAGAAAGAACTCTTGTCTGCTGGAGGCAAGTGTGAATGTTGCCATTGGCCAGCTTGATTAGCACTGAATGGCCTTGTAGCTTCAAAGCCTGGCTGCTTCCTGCCTGGGGGAATTCTCTCTCTCTCTCTCTCTCTCTCTCTCTCACACACACACACACACACACACACACACATATATATAATTGGTGGAATGATGTCCAGGGTGGGAGAAAGGACTCTTGTCTGTTGTTGTCATTGGCCAGCTTGATTAGCATTCCATGGCGTCACAGCTTCAAAGCCTGGCTGCTTCCTGCCTAGGGGGAATCCTGTTAGGTGTTAGCTGGTCCCGATTGTTTCCTGCCTGGAATTCCCGTTTTCCGAGTGTTGCTCTTGATTTACGACTCCCAACAAAGGATTCCCTCAGGCAGAAAGCAGCCCGGCATCCTCAGAGGTTGTGAGATCTGTTGGAACCTAGGAAAATAGGGTTTATATATCTGTGGAATGACGTCCAGGGTGGGAGAAAGAACTCTTGTCTGTTGGGAGGCAAGTGTGAATGTTGCCATTGGTCATCTTGATTAGCATTGAAAATGAATAGCTTTGCAGTTTCGAAGCTTGGCTGCTTCCTGCCTGGGGGAATATTTTCTTGGGGGGGGGGGTGTTAGCTGGCCTCGATTGCTTACTATCTGGGCAAAACATCAGGAGAGAATGCTTCTGGAACATGGGCCAGGCAGCCTGTAACGTTTTCCGGCTTGTGATCCCACCAGTTCTTTGTCGCAGGAAGATGGTGTTTGTGGCACAAGTTGCACAACACACACCTGAGCAAGGGTGTTGTGCCTCTGCTTGGAGTCTGTCCACGATCTTCTTGCAGCAGGGGTTGAGAGCCTTGATCATATTTCCGCCATAAATTATTATTACTATTATTATTATTATTATTTGACACACAAGATGAGTTCACAACAATTTCTAGTTCACAATTCCAGCAGTTTGATACTACTACTACTACTACTACTACTACTACTACTACTACTACTAATAATAATAATAAAGCTGACACGATATGAGGAATTAAAGATCGAACTGCAAAGACTCTGGCACAAGCCGGTCAAGGTGGTCCCAGTGGTGACCGGCACACTGGGTGCAGTGCCTCAATACCTTGGCCTGCACTTAAACACAATCGGCACTGGCAAAATTACCATCTGTCAGCTAATAATAATAATAATAATAATAATAATAATAATAATAATAATAATAAAGCATTTGACTCTCTGCCACATTGTTGGATTATCAAATGTCTAGATGTCATCGGGGTTTGTGAAAATATTCGAACAAGCCAGTCAGGGGGGTGCCAGTGGTGATCGGCACACTGGGTGCAGTGCCTCTAGACCTTGGCCTGCACTTAAACACATAATCGTTGGCCTGCACTTACACACAATCGGCACTGGCAAAATTCCCATCTGTCAGCTAATCATGTCTAGTTGTCATCGGGGTTTGTGAAAATATTAGAACGAGCCAGACAAGGGGGTCCCAGTGGTGATCGGCATAGTGGGTGCAGTGCCTCAAGACCTTGGCCTGCACTTACACACAATCGGCATTGGCAAAATTACCATCTGTCAGCTAATAATAATAATAATAATAATAATAATGATGATGATGATGATGATGATGATGATGATGATAATAATAATAATAATAATAATAATAATAATAATAATAATAAAGCATTTGACTCACTGCCACATTGTTGGATTATCAAATGTCTAGTTGTCATCGGGGTTTGTGAAAATATTAGAACAAGCCAGTCAGGGTGGTCCCAGTGGTGATCGGCACTGGCAAAATTACCATCTGTCAGCTAATAATAATAATAAAGAATTTGACTCCCTTCCACATTGTTAGATTATGAAATATAGATGTCATCGGGGTTTGTGAAAATATTAGAACAAGCCAGTCAAGGGGGTCCCATTGGTGATGGGCACATGGGGTGCAGTGCCTCAAGACCTTGGCCTGCACTTAAACCCAATCGGCACTGGCAAAATTACCACCTGTCAACTAATAATAATAATAAAGCATTTCACTCACTGCCACATTGTTGGATTATCAAATGTCTAGATGTCATTGGAGTAAAGAATTTGACGCACAGCCACATTGTTGGATTATCAAATGTCGAGATGCCATCGGAGTTTGGGAAAATATTAGCACAAGCCAGTAAAGGTGGTCCCAGTGGTGATCGGCACACTGGGTGCAATGCCTCAAGACCTTGGCCTGCACTTAAACACAATCAGCACTGACAAAATTACCATCTGTCAGCTAATAATAATAAAGAATTTGACTCACTTCCGCATTGTTGGATTATCAAATGTCTAGATGTCATCGGGGTTTGTGAAAATATTAGAACAAGCCAGTCAAAGGTGGTCCCAGTGGTGATCGGCACACTGGGTGCAATGCCTCAAGACCTTGGCCTGCACTTAAACCCAATCGGCACTGGCAAAATTACCACCTGTCAACTAATAATAATAATAAAGCATTTGACTCACTGCCACATTGTTGGATTATCAAATGTCTAGATGTCATCGGGATTTGTGAAAATATTAGAACAAGCCAAACAAGGGGGTCCCAGTGGTGATGGGCACATGGGGTGCAGTGCCTCAAGACCTTGGCCTGCACTTACACACAATCAGCACTGACAAAATTACCATCTGTCAGCTAATAATAATAATAGTAATAATAATAATAATAATAATAATAAAGAATTTGACGCATGGCCACATTGTTGGATTATCAAATACTGGGTGCAGTGCCTAATGACCTTGGCCTGCACTTAAACACAATCAGCACTGACAAAATTACCATCTGTCAGCTAATAATTATAATAATAAAGCATTTGAGGCACGGCCACATTGTTGGATTATCAAATGTCTAGATGCCATCAGAGTTTGTGAAAATAAGTCAGAAAGGACATGGGAATGCACTGATGCGCAAAGACCCGCGCACAGGGGCCACGAAGGAGAGAAAGCAAGACGCACCCACCTATGAATGTGATTTCCTTTTTATTAACAAAGCCACAAAGAAGCTACAGTATACGCTCTTAAGTTAACGCGCCCGGGGTCTCCTAACCGAAGGGGGGTCCCTCCTCCTCCTCCTCCTCCTCCTCCGTTTCCTCCCGCTCTCCTGCCAACTTGCAAACAACGTGGGCTCCGGAGGCGCCTTCAACCGGGGTAGCCGGTGGTTCCAACGTCCGACAACCCAAGACCTTGTTATTCCTGACCCGCGTCCGGAGCTCCCGCCGGCTTGTTCTGCTCGTCCCCTTTCTTCTTATGGCCCGAAACGATGTCGTCGATGCGCAGGAGGAGGACAGCCGTCTGCGGAGAAGAAGAGCGTTGAGAGAGGTCAAATCCACACTCGATACTCCTCTGATGCACTACCGTCATCCCTCCATATTTTGTTTTTTTGTGATTACAGACTATAAGACAAGAAGGAAGTGTTTTGGGGGCGCTTCCCGCAAATCGAGCGCCTCTGCTTACCTCCACGGCCGTCTTATAGGTTTGCAGCTTGACGGACAGGGGCTCCCAGATGCCCAGCTCCTTCATGTCGGCCAAGGCACCCGTCTCGCCATTGACGCCCCAGGTCTGGCTGCCTTCCTGGGTGTGCTTGGCCTGCAAGACGCGGTGGCAATGAGTGCCAAAGACCCAAAGGTCGTGATTTCACCCTAAATCTACCTGCCTCCCTCCCAGGCATCATCATTATTTATTATCATTATCAGACGTGATAATAAACAGATTATTTTCATTTAATTATTATCACCATCACCATCATCATCATCATCATTATTATTATTATTTTAATTACACAAAAAGCAGTATTATTATATTATTATTATCATCATCATCTGACGTGATAATAAACAGATTATTTTCATTTAATTATTATCACATCACCATTATTATTATTATTATTATTATTATTATTATTTTACTTACACAAAAAACAGTATTATTATATTATTATCATCATCATCATCTGACGTGATAATAAACAGATTATTTTCATTTAATTATTATCACATCACCATTATTATTATTATTATTATTATTATTTTACTTACACAAAAAACAGTATTATTATTATATTATTATTATCATCATCATCATCTGATGTGATAATAAACAGATTATTTTCATTTAATTATTATCACATCACCATTATTATTATTATTATTATTTTACTTACACAAAAAACAGTATTATTATATTATTATTATCATCATCATCATCTGACGTGATAATAAACAGATTATTTTCATTTAATTATTATCACCATCACCATTATTATTATTATTATTATTTTACTTACACAAAAAACAGTATTATTATATTATTATTATCATCATCATCATCTGACGTGATAATAAGCAGATTATTTTCATTTAATTATTATCACCACCATCATCATCATCATTATTATTTTACTTACACAAAAAACAGTATAATTATATTATAATATAATGTTTATATTATAATTATTATTTCAGTTTTATTATTATTATTTCAGTTTATTATTACCATTACCATTATTATTATTATTATTATTATTATTAATTATTTTACTGACACAAAAACACAGTTTATTATTACCACCACTACCATTATTATTTTTCTGACACAAAACCACAGTATTATTATTATATTTATATTATATACATACACACACACATATATATAATTCTGTTTTATGATTGTTATTTCACTTTATTATTACCGCCATTATTATTATTATTTTACTAACACAAAAACACTATATATATATATATATATATATATATATAATTTCAGTTTATTACCACCATTATTATTATTATTATTATTATTTTACTGACACACAGCATTATTTTATTTATATTATATATATATATATAATTCAGTTTTATTATTATTTCAGTTCATTATTATCACCAGCACCACCACCATCATTATTTTACTAATACAAAAACACAGTATGTGTGTGTGTGTGTATATATATATAACACATTTCAGTTTATTACCACCATTATTATTATTACTTTACTAACACAAAACCACAGTATCAGTTTTATTATTATTTCAGTTTATTATCACCACCATTATTATTATTTTACTAACAAAAAACAAAGTATTATATATATATATATAAATAATTTTAGTTTATTATTACCACCACCACCACCATCATTATTATTTTACTAACACAAAAACACAGTGTGTGTGTGTGTGTGTATATATATATATATATATATATATATAACATTACAGTTTATTACCACCATTATTATTATTATTTTACTGACACAAAACCACAGTATTATTATATTTATATTATATACATATACACATATATATATTATTCAGTTTTATTATTATTATTTCAGTTTATTATTACCACCATTATTATTATTATTTTACTGACACAATTATTTCAGTTTATTATTACCACCATTATTATTATTATTATTATTATTATTATTATTATTATTATTATTATTATTTTACTAACACAAAACACAGTATTCATATTATACTATTATATTTATATTATATTATAATTACTATTTTCACTATTTCATGAGTTCCCCGGGGAGATAGGGTGGTATATAAATAAAGTATTATTATTATTATTATTGATAAAACACATAGAAGGGCCAAAGGCACATTAAGCAAATGGAAGGGTAAAAATCCAAGTGCTAGTATAAGGAAGCAAGTCCAAAAGGCAATAGATAAATCCAAAACAGGGAGAATAATAATAATAATAATAATAATAATAATAATAATAATAATAATAATAATAATACTTTATTTGTACCCCGCTACTATCTCCCCAAGGGACTTGGTACGGCTGACATGAGGCCAAGGCAATAACAAATAAGGCAATAACAAAGCAGTTAAAATAAAATAAAATAAAATTCAAAAACGAAAAATACACAATAAGCAATATCAATAACAATAACATTAATCCAGGAAACAAGAGCATGAATCCATAGGTAAATCCATAAAGCCAGAAGCAAGATTTGTGCCAAATTTGGCCCAGTGAATGAAAATACATCCTGCATATCAGATATTTACGTTACGATTCAAAACAGGAGCAAAATGAAAGTTATGAAGTAGCAACGAAAATAATGTGATGGTTGGGGGTCACCACCACATGAGGAACTGGATTCAGGGGTCGCGGCATTAGGAAGGATGAGAGCGACTGCTCTAAGTGATCATTGGATCCCGATCCATATTTAGATAGTATCCCATGGGATGTGTAGTCTGGGAGGAGGTGTTCTATCTGCTCCAAAGAGGGGAGAGTGCCGCTCACTTACCCGCAAGGAGGTCAGCGTGCGGATGGTGCTGGCTCCGCAGTTCTGGATGAGCGTCCTGGGGATGACCTCCAGGGCCTGGGCCACGGCACGGTACGGCCACTGCTCCACGCCGGTCATGACCTTCGACTTCTCCGTCAGGTAGTGGGCCACCGCCATCTCGGAAGCCCCGCCCCCCGGCACCAGCTGCGGGTCGATCAGGACGTTGCGGCAGACCTGCATGGCGTCCTGGAGGTTGCGCTCCACTTCCTGAGAGAAAGAAGGCGAGCAGAAGAAGAAGGACGCCCTTTATTATTGAGCAAAGGAAGCACAAGAAACAGATTAGGGGTAAAAATACAGAGACTAGGAGACAACGGAGCCATGGATTCAAATGGAAGGAAAAACAAGAGCCCAGTTACCACTGAGAATAACTCATTGATGGTTAGAGCTGTTCAACAGTTAAAAACTCTCAAATCAGGAGAGTAAATAAAGAACAACACTCAGAAAACAGGGGAATTCCAGACAGGAAACTATCAGGAGGCAGGGTACAGATGGGGAAGGTTGTGTAGATACAGGAGGCTCGAGCAGGAAAACTTTAGAACTGTCTTTTTAGGATTGCGGAAAGGAGGAATAGAAGTGTCTTTTTAGGTTTGCGGAAAGAAGGAATAGAAGTGTCTTTTTAGGATTGCGGAAAGAAGGAATAGAAGTGTCTTTTTAGGTTTGCGGAAAGAAGGAATAGAAGTGTCTTTTTAGGTTTGCGGAAAGAAGGAATAGAAGTGTCTTTTTAGGATTGTGGAAAGAAGGAATAGAAGTGTCTTTTTAGGAGTGCGGAAAGAAGGAATAGAAGTGTCTTTTTAGGAGTGCGGAAAGAAGGAATAGAAGTGTCTTTTTAGGAGTGCGGAAAGAAGGAATAGAAGTGTCTTTTTAGGATTGCGGAAAGAAGGAATAGAAGTGTCTTTTTAGGAGTGCGGAAAGAAGGAATAGAAGTGTCTTTTTAGGATTGCGGAAAGAAGGAATAGAAGTGTCTTTTTAGGAGTGCGGAAAGAAGGAATAGAAGTGTCTTTTTAGGATTGCGGAAAGAAGGAATAGAAGTGTCTTTTTAGGAGTGCGGAAAGAAGGAATAGAAGTGTCTTTTTGGGATTGCGGAAAGAAGGAATAGAAGTGTCTTTTTGGGATTGCGGAAAGAAGGAATAGAAGTGTCTTTTTAGGATTGGAGAAAGAAGGAATAAAGGGGTCTTTTTAGGATTGTGGAAAGAAGGAATAGAAGTGTCTTTTTAGGACTGCGGAAAGAAGGAATAGAAGTGTCTTTTTAGGACTGCGGAAAGAAGGAATAGAAGTGTCTTTTTGGGATTGCAGAAAGAAGGAATAGAAGTGTCTTTTTGGGATTGCGGAAAGAAGGAATAGAAGTGTCTTTTTGGGATTGCGGAAAGAAGGAATAGAAGTGTCTTTTTAGGTTTGCGGAAAGAAGGAATAGAAGTGTCTTTTTAGGTTTGCGGAAAGAAGGAATAGAAGTGTCTTTTTAGGATTGTGGAAAGAAGGAATAGAAGTGTCTTTTTAGGTTTGCGGAAAGAAGGAATAGAAGTGTCTTTTTAGGTTTGCGGAAAGAAGGAATAGAAGTGTCTTTTTAGGATTGCGGAAAGAAGGAATAGAAGTGTCTTCTTAGGAGTGCGGAAAGAAGGAATAGAAGTGTCTTTTTAGGATTGCGGAAAGAAGGAATAGAAGTGTCTTTTTAGGAGTGCGGAAAGAAGGAATAGAAGTGTCTTTTTAGGAGTGCGGAAAGAAGGAATAGAAGTGTCTTTTTGAGTGCGGAAAGAAGGAATAGAAGTGTCTTTTTAGGATTGCGGAAAGAAGGAATAGAAGTGTCTTTTTAGGAGTGCGGAAAGAAGGAATAGAAGTGTCTTTTTGGGATTGCGGAAAGAAGGAATAGAAGTGTCTTTTTGGGATTGCGGAAAGAAGGAATAGAAGTGTCTTTTTAGGATTGGAGAAAGAAGGAATAAAGGGGTCTTTTTAGGATTGTGGAAAGAAGGAATAGAAGTGTCTTTTTAGGATTGCGGAAAGAAGGATTAGAAGTGTCTTTTTAGGACTGCGGAAAGAAGGAATAGAAGTGTCTTTTTAGGAGTGCGGAAAGAAGGAATAGAAGTGTCTTTTTGGGATTGCGGAAAGAAGGAATAGAAGTGTCTTTTTAGGATTGCAGAAAGAAGGAATAAAGGGGTCTTTTTAGGATTGTGGAAAGAAGGAATAGAAGTGTCTTTTTAGGACTGCGGAAAGAAGGAATAGAAGTGTCTTTTTAGGAGTGCGGAAAGAAGGAATAGAAGTGTCTTTTTGGGATTGCGGAAAGAAGGAATAGAAGTGTCTTTTTAGGATTGCAGAAAGAAGGAATAAAGGGGTCTTTTTAGGATTGTGGAAAGAAGGAATAGAAGTGTCTTTTTAGGACTGCGGAAAGAAGGAATAGAAGTGTCTTTTTAGGACTGCGGAAAGAAGGAATAGAAGTGTCTTTTTAGGACTGCGGAAAGAAGGAATAGAAGTGTCTTTTTGGGATTGCGGAAAGAAGGAATAGAAGTGTCTTTTTGGGATTGCGGAAAGAAGGAATAGAAGTGTCTTTTTGGGATTGCGGAAAGAAGGAATAAAGGGGTCTTTTTAGGATTGTGGAAAGAAGGAATAGAAGTGTCTTTTTAGGACTGCGGAAAGAAGGAATAGAAGTGTCTTTTTAGGATTGCAGAAAGAAGGAATAAAGGGGTCTTTTTAGGATTGTGGAAAGAAGGAATAGAAGTGTCTTTTTAGGACTGCGGAAAGAAGGAATAGAAGTGTCTTTTTAGGAGTGCGGAAAGAAGGAATAGAAGTGTCTTTTTGGGATTGCAGAAAGAAGGAATAGAAGTGTCTTTTTGGGATTGCGGAAAGAAGGAATAGAAGTGTCTTTTTGGGATTGCGGAAAGAAGGAATAGAAGTGTCTTTTTGGGATTGCGGAAAGAAGGAATAAAGGGGTCTTTTTAGGATTGTGGAAAGAAGGAATAGAAGTGTCTTTTTAGGACTGCGGAAAGAAGGAATAGAAGTGTCTTTTTAGGAGTGCGGAAAGAAGGAATAGAAGTGTCTTTTTAGGACTGCGGAAAGAAGGAATAGAAGTGTCTTTTTAGGATTGCGGAAAGAAGGAATAGAAGTGTCTTTTTCGGACTGCGGAAAGAAGGAATAGAAGTGTCTTTTTAGGATTGCAGAAAGAAGGAATAAAGGGGTCTTTTTAGGATTGTGGAAAGAAGGAATAGAAGTGTCTTTTTAGGACTGCGGAAAGAAGGAATAAAGGGGTCTTTTTAGGATTGTGGAAAGAAGGAATAGAAGTGTCTTTTTAGGACTGCGGAAAGAAGGAATAGAAGTGTCTTTTTAGGAGTGCGGAAAGAAGGAATAGAAGTGTCTTTTTAGGATTGCGGAAAGAAGGAATAGAAGTGTCTTTTTAGGATTGCGGAAAGAAGGAATAGAAGTGTCTTTTTAGGAGTGCGGAAAGAAGGAATAGAAGTGTCTTTTTGGGATTGCGGAAAGAAGGAATAGAAGTGTCTTTTTGGGATTGCGGAAAGAAGGAATAGAAGTGTCTTTTTAGGATTGGAGAAAGAAGGAATAAAGGGGTCTTTTTAGGATTGTGGAAAGAAGGAATAGAAGTGTCTTTTTAGGATGCGGAAAGAAGGAATAGAAGTGTCTTTTTAGGATTGTGGAAAGAAGGAATAGAAGTGTCTTTTTAGGAGTGCGGAAAGAAGGAATAGAAGTGTCTTTTTGGGATTGCGGAAAGAAGGAATAGAAGTGTCTTTTTGGGATTGCGGAAAGAAGGAATAAAGGGGTCTTTTTAGGATTGTGGAAAGAAGGAATAGAAGTGTCTTTTTAGGACTGCGGAAAGAAGGAATAGAAGTGTCTTTTTAGGATTGCAGAAAGAAGGAATAAAGGGGTCTTTTTAGGATTGTGGAAAGAAGGAATAGAAGTGTCTTTTTAGGAGTGCGGAAAGAAGGAATAGAAGTGTCTTTTTAGGACTGCGGAAAGAAGGAATAGAAGTGTCTTTTTAGGAGTGCGGAAAGAAGGAATAGAAGTGTCTTTTTAGGAGTGCGGAAAGAAGGAATAGAAGTGTCTTTTTAGGAGTGCGGAAAGAAGGAATAGAAGTGTCTTAATAGGATTGCGGAAAGAAGGAATAGAAGTATGTTTTTAGGATTGCGGAAAGAAGGAATAGAAGTGTCTTTTTAGGATTGCAGAAAGAAGGAATAAAGGGGTCTTTTTAGGATTGTGGAAAGAAGGAATAGAAGTGTCTTTTTAGGAGTGCGGAAAGAAGGAATAGAAGTGTCTTAATAGGATTGCGGAAAGAAGGAATAGAAGTATGTTTTTAGGATTGCGGAAAGAAGGAATAGAAGTGTCTTTTTAGGATTGCAGAAAGAAGGAATAAAGGGGTCTTTTTAGGATTGTGGAAAGAAGGATTAGAAGTGTCTTTTTAGGAGTGCGGAAAGAAGGAATAGAAGTGTCTTTTTAGGAGTGCGGAAAGAAGGAATAGAAGTGTCTTTTTAGGATTGCGGAAAGAAGGAATAGAAGTGTCTTTTTAGGATTGCGGAAAGAAGGAATAGAACTGTCTTTTTAGAATTGTGGAAAGAAGGAATAGAACTGTCTTTTTAGAATTGTGGAAAGAAGGAATAGAAGTGTCTTTTTAGGATTGTGGAAAGAAGGAATAGAACTGTCTTTTTAGGATTGTGGAAAGAAGGAATAGAAGTGTCTCTTTAGTATTGCGGAAAGAAGGAATAGAAGTGTCTTTTTAGGATTGCGGAAAGAAGGAATAGAAGTGTCTTTTTAGGATTGCGGAAAGAAGGAATAGAAGTGTCTCTTTAGTATTGCGGAAAGAAGGAATAGAAGTGTCTTTTTAGGATTGTGGAAAGAAGGAAGAAACCACTTGATTCCAGCGTTTTATTTTTGTGAGCTTTATTTTAACTCCAAGTTCTTCCAGAGTCTGACACCAACAAAATATTCTCCCAGTCAGGAAGCAGCCTGGCTTTGAAGCTGCCAGGTCATTCAATGCTAATCAAGCTGGCCAATGGCAACATTCACACTTGTCTCCAACAGACAAGAGTTTTTTCTCCCACGCTAGACATCATTCCACAGATATATATACCCCACTTGTCCAGTTTCCAACAGACTTCATAATCTCTGAGGAAGCCTGCCATAGATGCAGGCGAAACGCCAGGAGAGAATGCTTCTGGAACATGGCCAGACAGCCCGGAAAATTCACAGCAACCCAGTGAACTCTGTTGACTGGCAGTTTGATTGAGTCTCTCCTTCTCTAGAGGGTTTTTAAGAAGAGATTGGCTTTGATTCTATGGTTTACTCTTAGACTTCTCAAAATGCCAAGTCCTAAGATGCTATATCTATATATATAAATCTGAAAGTGGCGTCGCACGGGACAGCAAAACTCAAAAACCCCCAACAAAAATTAACCAAAATTCCCATGCACCTACCACAACCCAAAAGGTACAAACAAATCGAATCAAAGTAAAAAACAACACAACAACACACTCACAAAATGACAAAACAACTGAGCATGCGCAATGGCACCCAGCCGCAACTTCCCTGGCGCGCGCACATGGCCTGCTGGCCAACGCTCCCTCCATGCAAGCCACGCCCCCATCCTCCGTCACCCTGCCCCCTGCGATCACCCCACACCACGGCCCCTCCCTCCCCCTGCCCGCCCCACACGATCACGCCACAACACGCCGCCTCCAAGGAAGCCCCGCCCACTCCAAGCCCCGCCGCGCCGCTTCCCGCCCTGTCAAAACCATCCCTCCTCCCCCTCCTTCATCTTACCCCGCCCACATGCCACGCCCCCTTCCTTCGCCCCCCCCACCCCTTCCTCCCTCACTCAATCCTTCCCTCCTCCCACCCCCTCCAGTAAGACACGCCCCCTTCCTTCCCCGCGGCGGGCCCAATCAAGGAAGAGGAAAAACATCGAAGGAAGGAAGGAAACAGAGAAGGAAACATGGAAGCAAAGAGTGAAGGAAAGAAGAAAGAGGTAGAGAAGGAAGAAAAGAGAGAAAGAGGAAATGAAGAGGGATGGAAAGAAACGGGTAGAGAAAGAAGGAAGGAGAGAAGGAAAGAAAAGAAGGAAAGAGGAAAAGGAAGAAGAGAAAGAAAGAGAGAAAGAGGGAGGGAAGGAAAGACAAGGAAGGATAGAACCAAAGAAAGGAAGAGAAGGAAGGAAAGGAAGAAGGAAGGAAGGAAGGAAGGAAGGAAGGAAGGAAGGAAAGAGGCAGAGAAGGAAGAAAGAGAAAGGGAAGGAAAAGAAAAAAGGAAGAAGGAAAGAGGAAGAGAAGGAAGGAAGAAGGACAGAAAAGGAAGGAAAGAGGAGCAAAGGAAGAAGAGAAAGAAAGAGAAAGAGGTGGGAAGGAAGGAAAGACAAAAGGAAGAATGGAAACAAACACCACAGGAAGGAAGGAAGGAAGGAAGGAAGGAAGGAAGGAAGGAGGAGGAAGGAAGGAAGGAAGGAGGAGGGAGGGGAGGAGGAGGGAAGGAAGGAAGAGGAGAGAAGAAGAAAGAGAAAGGGAAGGAAAAGAAAAAAGGAAGAAGGAAAGAGGAAGGAAGCAAGGAGAGAAGAAAAGGAAGGAAAGAGGAGCAAAGGAAGAAGAGAAAGAAAGAGAAAGAGGGGGGAAGGAAGGAAAGACAAAAGGAAGAATGGAAACAAAAACCACAGGAAGGAAGGAAGGAAGGAAAGAGGCAGAGAAGGAAGAAAGAGAAAGGGAAAGAAAAGCAAAAAAGGAAGAAGGAAAGAGGAAGGGAAGGAAGGAAGGAAGGAGAGAAGGAAAGAAAAGTAAGGAAAGAGGAGCAAAGGAAGAAGAGAAAGAAAGAGAAAGAGGGGGGAAGGAAGGAAAGACAAAAGGAAGAATGGAAACAAACACCACAGGAAGGAAGGAAGGAAGGAAGGAAGGAAGGAAGGAAGGAAGGAAGGAAGGAAGGAAGGAGAGGAGGGAGGGAGGGAGGGAGGGAGGGAAGGAAGGAAGGAGGCAGAGAAGGAAGAAAGAGAAAGGGAAGGAAAAGAAAAAAGGAAGAAGGAAAGAGGAAGAGAAGGAAGGAAGGAAGGAGAGAAGGACAGAAAAGGAAGGAAAGAGGAGCAAAGGAAGAAGAGAAAGAAAGAGAAAGAGGGGGGAAGGAAGGACAGACAAAAGGAAGAATGGAAACAAAAACCACAGGAAGGAAGGAAGGAAGGAAGGAAGGAAGGAAGGAAGGAAGGAAGGAAGGAAGGAAGGAAGGAAGGAGACAGAGAAGGAAGAAAGAGAAAGGGAAGGAAAAGAAAAAAGGAAGAAGGAAAGAGGAAGGAAGCAAGGAGAGAAGAAAAGGAAGGAAAGAGGAGCAAAGGAAGAAGAGAAAGAAAGAGAAAGAGGGGGGAAGGAAGGAAAGACAAAAGGAAGAATGGAAACAAAAACCACAGGAAGGAAGGAAGGAAGGAAAGAGGCAGAGAAGGAAGGAAGGAGAGAAGGAAAGAAGTAAGGTGGGCCACAGCAATGCGTGGCAGGGAAAGCTAGTAATAATACGAAGTCTTGCTGGACTCACCGCCAGGATCTCCTTGCTGGCCCCCCGGAGCAGGATGGTGCAAGCCTTGGGCTCCTTGCAGTCGGTGATGAAGGTGAAGTACTCGTCCCCGATCTTCTTCACTTCGAAGAGTCCCGCTCCGTTCCCCACATCCTCTTCGCGCAGCTCATCAGGACGGCTGACAATGCGAGCTCCACAAGCCCTGCAAAGGAAACGAGAATCCCCCTCCGGCATTGAAGCTCCACCTCGGCTCCACATTACAGGGTCTTTAAGCAGAGGCTGGATGACCATCTGTCAGGGGTGATTTGATTGTGTCTTCCTGCCAATGGGGTTGGAGTGGAGTCTATTCCAACTCTAGGATTCATTAAGCAGAGGCTGGATGACCATCTGTTGGGAGGGCTTGGATGGTGCCTTCCTTTATGGCAGAAGGGGGGTGGACTGGATGGCTCTCGGGGTCTCTTTCATCTCTTATCATTCTACGATTCCATACAATGGGCCTCCCAGCTCACCTTGGATTCACCCAGTGCATTTTGATACAGTAAATTTTATTGATTAGCCCAGTGTTTCTCAACCTGGGGGTCGCAACCCCTGAGGGGGTCGTGACGTTGTGTCAAAGGGGTCGCCAAAGACCATCAGAAAACATAGTATTTTCTGGTGGTCATGGGGGTTCTATGTGAGAAGGCTGACCCAATTCTATCGTTGGTGGAGTTCAGAATGCTCTTTGATTGTAGGTGAACTATAAATCCCAACAACTAGAACTCCCAAATGTCAAGGTCGATTTTCCCCAGACTCTACCAGTGTTCACATTTGGGCATACTGAGTATTCGTGCCAAGTTTGGTCCAGATCCATCATTGCATGAATCCACAGCGCTCCTCTGGATATAGGTGAACTACAACTCCCAAACTCAAGGTTAATGCCCACAAAACCCTTCCAGTGTTTTCTGTTGGTCATGCGAGTTCTTTGTGCCAAGTTTGGTTTAAATCCATCGCTGGTGAGTTCAGAATGCTTTTTGATTATAGGTGAACTATAAATCTCAGCAACTACAACTCCCAAATTACAAAATCAGTCCTCCCCCCCTCCCCCCAAGCATTCACATTTGGGCATATTGGGTAATTGTGCTCAATTTAGTCCAGTGAATGAAAATATATCCTACATATCGGATATTTACATAATAAAATATTAATTATTATTATTATTATTATTATTATTATTATTATTATTATTATTCTGGAAATACGTTTTAATATGTATCTTCTATAGCAATGCATTTTTAATATGTGAACTTATATAATTTTTGCAATGCTTATGTGTTTTAATTATGCTGCAACCTGCCTCGAGCCACCAGGATAGGAGGATAACACATAACATTATTATTATTACTATTATTATTATTATGGAAAAACATTTTAATATATATCTTCTATAGAAATGCATTTTTAATATGTGTATTTATATAATTTTTACAATGTTTACGTGTTTTAATTAT